GCCGTCGCTCCCTGTGGGGAGGTGTCCCAGGGGGGGGGGGGGGGGGGGGGGGCGTCTTCGCGGCGATGGTTCTGCCGAACAGGTGGGTGTTTTTTTTTTTTGTTTGCCCGCCCCGCTGTACATTTGTTTGTCCCGTAGCCAAAGTGTGTGCTTGAGTGTTATACGTGTTTATAGTCCCGTATACACCCAAGTGTTTTGAGTGTGTGCTTGAGGGTACTGCTGGTTGATTTCTGCCGTTCGCGTGCGTACCCAGCCGCCAGTGTCAGCTCAGCTGTACCTTGATGAATCCCGCACCCAACTGTCCTGTGTGGTTTAAGGGTACTTGCAGTCTCCTGACGTTCGCGTGGGTAGCCAGCTCAGCTGTACTCTCATCGCGTTTGCTGGCGGAAATAATGGCATCTCTGTCCTCCTTATCTTTTATCTATCCGTGTGCTGCTGTATCTTGGTCTTGGTCTTGGTCTTGGTCTGTCTTCCGCCAGGTGGGGACGGCCGCCCGGGAATGGGAGGCGTTGGTCAGGGAGGTACGGCACTCATCCGGCGGCGACGGCGGCGGCGGCGGTGGCGCGACCGCCACGGTGAGCGGTGTTGCGTGTGTACAGCAGTGTGCGTGCGAAGGGCAGGAATGCGTTTTTTCTTGTCGGGCCAAAGACGAACCCGACAGGGTCATTTGTCATGATCGATAGGTGGTTGGCTATGGTGAACCCCCGTGCGCGCTGTGTGAGTGCCATGGAAGAAAAACGTACAGGGCTGGAGCATCTCTATTTTCAGGAGTCCGAAGGGTGATTCGTTTCGTAGGAGATGCGTGGGTCAAACTCGGGGTCGCTTATACTGATATCTGCATTTTGTTTGTTTTTCTTATAGTTTGGGCCACGTGTTGGATTACAGAGTAGGTTGTATGACCCACGGGGGGAACCACCTGCTCTGGCTCGTTTAACACGGTTTAGACGAGGAACGCACCGGAACACTTTGGGGACGTTTTTCAACGTGGAAAGAAAAAAAAATGAACCACAAGAACGAAAAAAGGCGCACATTAACAAAATTCACTCACGGGCAATGAAATTATTCTGTCCTTTTGTGAACAGAGTCTAGGAACATATCGTATTGCTACAGCAGTCCTGAATGTGCTCTGTTCATTGTTTTCCGAAAGCGAATCCTGGCGTCTTCATGGCTGATGATGGCACAAACGTATCCCTAGCTCTTGACACCTGCGGTGCCCCCCCCCCCCCCCCCCCCCCCCCCCC